AGAAATAAACATTTTTGGTTAGCGTGATACAAACTGTATCATCTTTTATCTGCTTCTTCTACCAACCCAGCCTGTAGCATCATCGACTTCTTCAGCTCCAGGTTCAGCGCTACCAGAGGGAACCAGAGTTGCCAACATGGCCAATTCATTTCCCTCTCGTTCCCAGTTTAAAGGACTTCTGTAGCTCTGTCCTGACACCATCCCCGCCTCTGAACTATCAGTCCTCCTCCTTCCACCCCCCAACTGCTGAAGACATCGACCGACACGGTGTTTTCCTCTAGTTGTCAAAGCGCACCACACCCTTGGAAAACATTGCCAGTGCAATGGGCAAGCCACAACTACCTGGCAATGACTGTAAAATAGAAAGCAGCTGGTGGAGCATCAACAGTAAAAATGCTTTTCATAAGCAATAGTGAAATAAACGTGTTTCACCTGCTGGACACAACTCATATTGTGATTTAGAGAAATTCTGTAGGTGGTTGGAAAAACGACGGTCAGTTAAGGGAAGAACAAGAAATTGGATAGCAGTCATCGGACACAATGAGGGAGAAAACATTTTTTGTCCCCATCAGACTAACAGCTCCCTCCTCTCACATCTGCCTTCCTAACCCTTCTCACCCCTGCCTTGTATCCCAAGTTTGCAGGCAGAGTTCCTGATCTCAGGCAAACAGCGTTATTTAAGGTAATGCTTAATGCTGTAACGGTTATTTAAGGTTTCAATGCATTACGTACAGGAACACAACAGACCCACTCGCTGCTGAGTGTTCATAAATGCACTGGGTTTCGGTGCCCAGGTGCTGGCCGCGGGGGGCTGCAGGGTGGCCTCTGTGAGGAGAGGCCAAGAAGGTGGTGCCTCAGGAAAAGCGTATTTAAGAGCGCAGCAGGGAGGAAAAACTGGGAGAAACAACCCTGTGAAGATCCAGGTCAGCGAAGGAGGGGGATGAGGTGCTCCAGGGGCGGGAGCAGGCTCCCCTGCAGCCCGCAGAGAAGACCATAGGGAAGCAGGTTGTTTCCCTGCAGCCTGTAGAGGACCACACCAGAGCAGATATCCACCGTACAGCACATGGAGGAGCCCATGCAGGAGCAGGTGCCCTGAAGGACGCTGCAGCCCTTGGAGAGCCCACGCTGGAACAGGTCTGTGGCAGGAACTGCGGCCCATGGCGAGGACCCACACTGGAGCGGGAAAAAGCATGGGGAGGAAGGAGCAGCAGTGAGGAACTGTTATGGGCAGACCACAACTCCCCAGTCCCCATCCAATGTAGGGGCATTGGGAAGGAAGGAGTGAAGTTGAGCATGGAGAAGGAAGTGGGGGGAAGGTGGTTTAGTTTTTGTCTTTGGTCCTCACCCTGCAACTCTATTTTTTCCGCAAGAAGTTAATTTTTCCCAAGTTAAGTCTGTTTTGCCTGTGACAGTAATTGATAAATCATCTCCCTGTCTCTCTCTCAATCCACGAGCTTTTCCATCTTATTCTCTCCCCTCCTGTTGAGGAGAAGGAGTAAGAGAGCGGCTGGGTGGGCATCTGACAGCCAGCCAAGGTCAACCCCCCACAATAACACACACCCAGAAAGACACCCCCCCCCAAACACTTCTTAGTGTGGAAAGTAAATGAGGATTCCAAATTGTGGGGAAAACCTGTCTTTACAATAATGAACCAAGAGAAAATTTGGAAGATATGAGATTTCTTCTGACTAAAGTTATAAAATGGTCTCTGTTCTTTTTAAGTATAACTGCTAAGCAAAACCAATATGTATTACTTCATACATCTAAGCTCAGTTATTAATCCCTTCAAATGCCTCGTCCAAAGACTGAAGCCATCTTTTCAAACAATGACTCCCTACACTTTCCATTACCCATCCCATCATCCTGCATAAAGCAATACCGATGATGCTCCCACCATAAAAATCACCCCCCGCTATTTCATGTGGCACCAGGCAAGTAAAGTCTCTATGATACACACTTATCACAAATTTCAGGTCTATTCAGATAAATCATGCATGTAGACAAGTATTTCTTTATGCAGCGATTTGATTTTCTAATGTTTCTTGCTTTCTTCCCTTTCATTACCTTCTGTCTTTGATCTCCTGCATCTCTTCGATTACTCTAGCAGGTCAGGTTGCCAAAGTGAAAATTGCTCAGGGCAAGACAGTTAAGATTCTCCTTCTCACCCCTCTAAACAACCCCTCCTTTGTTTTGTTTTCCAGGCATCAATTTGCTATTATAAAAGACCACAAAAAGGCCCTTTTGATACAGTATACTGACTATTAAATTGGTTATTCGTATGAAAGGCAAAAAAAAAAAAAAAGTTAAAGCAATTTTCCCTCTTAATCTCATAAGCCCATGTATTGGATGAAATGTAACACTTCATAGAGTAAGGGAAAAATCATGGTTTAATTACAACAATGTAGCATAAAACTTTAGTAGTCGATACCAGGATATTATTGTGACGTCTAAACTAAACTGGAGTTCTCCACAGATACCGTAAACAGACACTCTAAATTCCCTAAATGATTGGCGTTAAGAAGGTTTATACAAAGGCGGTCAGTTGTTTAATCTTTAAGATGTGATGACATGGTGAGACAAACACGCATACATCAGTAAGTACAGAGAAATGTTACGCTACATTTTGGACAGTTCAGAACTGAAAGTGCTTCACATCTGTAGGATAAGAAATGGCTTCATCTCCTCATCCCTAAATGATGAGAGCAAAGAAATAACCTTTTAATAGGTTAAATAAACAGTGCCCCATTTATCCATGCTTATATAAAGTTTCCAACAATTCAGAAGGTCCATGGTGAAATTTACAATCTATATACAGTATAACAAATTGTCAAAGAAAAAAGTTCAGATATTCCTTGGTTCCCAGATTTTTTGGTAAAAAACTTAGTCATCCCAATCCACCTTGAATAAAATCAGTCCCTAAGTCCTGGTCATATTTAACAACTGCTTAATCCCAGTGTTTAAGGCATGTTCATTAGATGTCAGTATAGGGGTACTGTCAGAAATGATATTAACCACAGGTACTAAGAGTCAGCAAATTTACACAGCAATGCCACTCTTTACAATATAATGTAAAACAAATTGTTATGATGGAAGTTGTTCCTGAGTTAAAATTTGCTAAATACTGCTAAGATCCATGTTTTCCTTTTATACTTCTTCCTCTGGAATGTCCTTTCACATATGCTTAATTGAAAATTAAAATTCACTCTGAAAATAGCCTGAATGTCAGAAATTAAGAATGTTAGCAAAATTCTAATCATACCGGCATTCCCAAATCTAAATTTAGGCAAGATGCTATGAATTTGCAGTGTTTAGTATCACTTAGCTTTTAGCAAGAGTATTTTCTAAATAGGAAGAGAATTATAAATGTCAGTCCACATTTTTGTGCAACTGCAAACAACAGGAAAAGATTTTGGTATCAAGAATTATCATAAATTTAAAGTTCTGTAATATATGCAACTCTGATATTGTAGGCATTTTTAGTTTTCTTATCCAGTCTGCTTCGAATTAAAAGGAAGACATTTTAAAATTGTAGGAACACAAATTAAAATACCTACAGATATATTCAGCTTTTTTAATCGGACAACTAATTGTCTATTCAGGTTCTTAAGTATCCCTTCCCACAGAATTGTTCCTCAAGTATGTAATCATTGACATTCTTTCCTATCTAAAAAAAGCTGTTCTTGGCTGAGAAAAGTGGATAGCTTTAAAAATAGATTTTTCATTAGATTCGAAATGCGCATGACAATTCCTACCACCCTAATCATCCTGCCTCCAACTCATTAAAGTTCATATCAACATTTGCTTAAGTCCGAGCATTGAATTTAACAGGAGTTAAAGGGCACTAGAAAATCAGGATGATGCAAGGTGCAGCTCAGGTCTCTGCTATACCTGCACTTCTGACTGTCAGCTGAAGAAAACCCCTCAGAAAACTGCACCGCCTGGAGTTTGATCTGAAGTTTGCTGAAATCGATGAAAGGCTTCCAAACGAGCTTTAATGGGATTAGTATTTTAAGTGCTCCAACTGAAGCTCACCGTTTGCAGTGATGTAGCGTCTCCTATTTTAAATACAAGAAAGGATTGCAGTAATTGCACCTATCAGACTAGGGAATAAATGTTCATTTAGGTATTTTCAAATCTGTCAGCAGTGCAAATTATGGACTACAGTCTGATAAAAATAACCTTATTTCCAGATTTGTTTCCATTTAAATCCTAGTAGGACAGAAACCAGTAACACACTGAGAAAACAGGGTGGGAAAGGAATGACTCTGCTTCCACGGCCTGGGAATTCCAAACAGAGTCGTACATAGTGGTATAAAAACAAAGCTCTGAATGAAGCTTGGCCTAGCCCATGTGTCTTATGCACAAAGGTTAGCTAAAATTTAATTGTTGTGACCATAAAATATAAATAGCAACAATTTATTCACAAAATTCTGGATTAGATTGATTTTTTTGCTTTAACAAACTGTATGATCTATTAAATTATCAGCCAGCTGTATGTTTAAGCACAACAATAGAAAATGTAGTACATAAACACTTAAAAATCACAGTCATAAAAAGCAGGCAAGTACATCAGTCTTTCGGTGGCCAAAGCACAACAGATTAGTCTGCCAAACAAGTGTACGTGAACATAAATCATGGGCATTAATTTTGTTAAAAATTGCTTTTACTGTCAATAAACAGTTTTCTGTATTTTAATACTGTTCTTAAAGAATTGTAAACTGTTTAAAAATGTATGCACAGACATAAATAACAGTAAAGGATTTAAATACAGTGGTCAATAGGAAAAATAGGTTTTTAAATTTGCATGTGTGATAGGTGGGTAATTCGGAGCAAATCCATAATTATCCACCAAGAACTCTGACCTTTTTTAGGTAAGACAGTACTGCCGTCATTTCTAACACTTGTGACCATTATAATAACAAGAGAAAAAAATAACATCAGCCCTGATACATCAATCACATATGCATTCAAAATTACAGATATTTACAAGAAAAATATATATTTAATTAAAAAGCCACTGAAAAACATGGACTTTTAGTCAGGTGCTGCACTTTCTGCAAAATGAGGTAATTTAGATGCAAACAAATTAAGTTTAGTAGAGTTCAGGATCCATGGTCTCCACACTTAAAGTACAGATTGCTTCAGTAAATGGCTTGACTTTTCTATAGTTCAGAGCAAGAAATCACTAGATCCAGTTAAATCCTGTTTTGTAGTGCTCTTGATGCAACACTGACTAATGTCAGAAGGCTTCCCAGCTCAGTTTTACAACTGGTCTTTCAACAGAAAGAAAAAGGGGGGGAGGAAAAAAAAAAAAAAAAAAAGAAAAAATTAGTTATAAGTTGGTTTCATCCCAAGATGGATCATTCATGTTCTTTAGAACTTTTCTAACAAGCTTCTCCAAGTCCTTGCGAGCTCTTTGTTCTTCTTCTAATGATTTTTTCATCTTTTTGTTATCCTGTTTAATAGAGACAGAAATATTAGTGTTTGGTTATTTGTTTTTCTTTTTTTCTTTTTTTTTAACAGATCTTTTCTGACCACACATGCACCATTAATTACAAAGTCTGAAGGCTCTTCTCAGTAAGACTGCTATTAGCTGTTCAAAAGCAAAGCCTGCTATTAAAATCTCACAAGTTACACACGGTTACTTCACACAATGCAACAAACCCCACCAAATGGAAACCGTGCTATTTCCTATTTATAGGAAAAATAGGTCCTTTATAATGCAAGCGCTAGTAACAGATGGCCAATAATCTTAAATTCTTCTGCTCAAATCTGATCAATGAACAGCAGAATGTATTTGTTGTTAATGGAGAAGGGAAATGGAGCAATAAGTAGAATAAATATCCCCTCTAAGAGCCTCCTGCAATTATAAGTAGTTTCACAATCTCAGAAAAGCTTCTTAAAACTTAATGCAAATTAACTTGCTTCATTAGGAAAGTAAATAGTTGAAAGGAATATCTTGAAAACCATTGTGTTCTCTGGAAAGTGTTTTGTGACTAAATTTTAAGCCAGACAGATGACTACTAACAGTCTAACAGGAGTCCGAATTTCAAGGAACACCACCACTCTGCATGTATATTAATGAGCGAGTCAGTTCTCAGTATTTAGCGCTGGGTAATATTGAAATACCATGAACAACAGGACCGTAAGGATGTCACTGACCCAACCACAGTAATGCTTACATTCTTTAATCCTGTACAGGCCAAGGTGATACTGGCAACAGTGGGGAAGCAACCAGAAGATAAGACAACATTATATTAAGGCCCCATGACAACAAGCCTACGGGTGTTTAACAAACACAGGTCTACAGTCCCAGTGGACTCCCATCAGCTGTCATTTAGAGACATTTCTAGAAACAGGATGGGATCAACGGCTGCCACCTCATTAACTCCATCCCCTCCTCAAATCTGCCGAGAAACTCAGAAATTCCATTCTTTTCCTGTAGGTACAGACTTAATTTCTTTTCATTTATTTATCTACTGCCAAGTCAGGACTGTACTATTCAAGTGTAGTGCCTGTGGAGCAACAGCTATGAATAAACCATGGAAGCTGCTACGGGAGGATTCCACTCCACGTGGTAACTCTCACCAACAGGCCGCCTGGTGTCTACACCAACCAGCGCACCACATACTCCCCGAGAGCCTTTATCCATAAAGCCCTTGGTCACTTGGGACCTTGCCAGCTCAGAGATTATTTCTGCCACTTCTCCGGTTGGCAACATCACAGCAGCAGACCAATAAATGCTTCTAAGCCGAGATTCCAGATATACAAGAAAATGAACTTGGGCTTTAACAGGTCTTGGCTTTGGAAGACGCGAGACTGTGAAGAGACCATCTCTTTGGAAAGGCACCAGAAAAGAGCGCCATTGCTTCAAGTTCAGGAGAAGGTGACTTTTTGATTAGAGCCACACAGAGATCTGCAGGGCCTCAGTGAGGCAGCACGTTTATCCTTTGTACAAAAGCAGCCAGGCCACAGAAATATTAGTGAGTTATTATTGCTGCTTATGTTACATGAATTGTTTTTTTAAAAAGACTGTCAAATTTGCATCAAACCTGGGATACACATGCTTTATATGTTGAAAACAGAATGTAAGTATTTAAGACATCAACTGTCCTATTTCAAGGAACATGCACGACATCCTTAGAAATACTAGGCACGCTTACAGATGGGCAAAGAATTTGAATTCACGTTTATAGCCCAAAACCTACAGTAATTTGAATACAAATCCATTTTACATTAACACAAGAAATTTCATCTGACTTCCTGAGTCAGAACTGTTAAGGTCAGTTAGCAAATTCACACATTGGAGAGTAAGGATAATTCAATGCTTTTTCACCTACACATTAAGCAATGACTATGTGCAACAGCATTAATATGGTTTAAACAGTCTGTGTCCTGACAAGGTATTTTCAAACATCTCATTTTGGATACTTAAAACAAGCTTAAAACCCAGCAACTCAGGCGAGATCTTGCACAGTTGCCCCACATGACAAAGCAGCACCCTAAGCTAACCTGAAGCGCTCATTAAAAAAAGGCCACGTGACAGACACTGAAAAGGACTCTCATCTCTGGAAATGATTCATAAGAGGTGTTCAGGTTACTGAAAGATCATCAAAAAAGGCCTGAATAGATCCAGACATTTATACTATTAAAATTATACATTCTAGAGCAAATACTATTTCACAGCCTCTATAAGCTTATTTTGCTAATGTTACAGCAGAATTAAATTGGCCTAACGCTTTCAACATTTCACAAGTTGTAACATCCAAAAATAAATGAAACATATCTTAGTAAGTCACCTCAGAGAGAGGACACTTAATGCTGCTCTCAAAGGCTGGTGCTCCAAGGACCGATGACAACCACAAAAGAGGGTGCTTTTTGTCAAATTGCATTGTTTTACTTTTAAAAGTGAATCTAGTCCAAAATTCAAGTTCATTCCTGCCAAAGTGAATCAACTTACAAGCCGTATTTATTTTTATAAGCCTCCCATCTTTCCATTCGCCATGTTGCTATGAATGTAGCAAGTTACCAACCTGTCTTAACTCCTGTACTTCATCCTTTAATGCATATACTGTGTCAACAAGGCTTCTAAAATGAAAAAAGAAGATGATCTGTTACAATGGTTTTCAGACATACGTGTCTAAATCTATTATTAGACAAAACGGTTAAATGAAATGCATTAAAAACAAAAAAAACCCCACAGCTAACAGCCAATTTCCAACTTGTGCTAAAAAAATTGTCTCTTATCCTCATTTATGTTCAGTAAGGCAAGGACCCGTCACCAGCTTCTGTGACAGGATACGCCTCTCAAGCACATATGGACCTATACTGGTTTCTGTATTACAGTTTTCTGTAACAGAGCTGTGTTTCATTTCCAACATACACCTTACCAAAAAAATAGAATGACGCCACGCACTAACTAGGAAGATGACACCAATTTAATACTGAAATCCTACAACATTTGGAAAAACTATCTATAAGTGAAACATCACTTCTTGGCATGGAAGGAGTAAGCTGTGTAGCGTATACAAAGAATTGGACTACAAGCATTTAAATGAAGGCCAACTGCACTTAAAGGCCTGGTAGCGTACTCCAAACAGCTCTGTTCCCTTCTACAAATATACCATATACACGCTACTATAATGGGAGACGGGAGGAGGAGGAAGAGTGCAAAGTTTACTGGTTTAATCCATCATTCATTAAATGTTCTCTTACTTCTCTTCTATAACAGTCTGACCATTACTTTTAGTTTCTTCTACAATAATTTTTTCTTCCTCTGGGAGCAGGACTTGAGGAGCTGATTCTTTACGGGAACCTGTTGCAAAAATAAATTACAAAATGAACAACTCACAAATATTGCTGGGGCGTTTTAAAGATTATTATTTCATTCATTGCATGATACACCTGCGTGACCAAGGTATATCACTTTCCATTTCCCCCTTCCCTCCACACAAGTTACCGACACTTTTTTTTTTTTTTACATTTGAAACCACAGCCTTACAACAACAAAGAATTGTCTGACATTCCTATCCTGCTGCTGACATAGCTCCTGTGTCATCGACAGTGATGCTGCACCATTTAGCAAACAGTGCACGTTCAACTAGCAGTAAAAGCTATATAAATTCACCATAGCTGACTCAGAAAAAGCTAGATGTGTTTAAGTAACAGCAATTTAAGCCTCAAGGACAGATTCTGATCTCACACTGATACAAATCCAAGAAACAGTTCCACTCTAAACCAATTACTCTATCAGTAAGGAGCAGAATAGTGGTACCAAATGATACAGCGATGGAAGAAAAAAAAAGTTAAAAGTCCCTTTCCCGTGAAACACTATAAACAACACAATTGTGTGTGTGTGCACACATATACATACACATACACTTACAGATAGCCTTTTAGTCCTATAATAAATTCCTACCAAATGAAATACATACTTAGTATTTAATAAATGTTTTTAAAAGCACTTAATGATTTGACAATAAAAACTCAAAGCATTCCAACATCTTCAAAACATTTTCCACAATCATTACAGCTTATAACATCAAGATAATACATATAGATTCTAAAAAAGTAGCTCTGAATAGAAAAATCTACAGCTCAGATGTGCATCCATTCATACATACATGAAGTATGTATTCTAGAAACATTATTTAATTAGGCTGCAACAAATTACAAGCATTTTTTTTGTTTTGAAAGGTGGTCTGTAAATAAACTGCTGTCTAAGCATTTGTTCAGAATTCAAACACAGCAGATAAGGCATTAAAGTTCTTGCATATTTTAACCAAGATATCAGTTTTAACAAACACTTGCCTACTAATTCACTGTAATGAACTTTCATTAACCAGGAATGTCTTAAGTTTGAACTGATAACTAGGTACTACAGGGTGCATGCCTCTCAGGAGAAATTAGTTAGCTCTTGCTGAACAGCTGCTTTGTGACAACAGTGCTTTTCTTTTAATAAATAGCATAATAAAATATAAACACACAAAAAATGAAAGAAATCAGGGTCATCGAAAAATACTAACTTCCCTAACAGCTGCAGTCTTGAGTTCTGAACAACGAGCTTGTACGGACCGTGGTTTAGCGGTACATGTTAAGCTATGTAAACCATGTTAGCAAACAATGACAAATGTCCTTTAATGAATAAAAGTTTCCTTAAGCTGACAGTAAAGATCTAATGTATCAGTATGTGATGGTCAAAATTTTATGGAATTAAGATAACTGCAGATTTGAGAACAGAATCTTGTCCTTGAAAGCTCTAAGTTCTTCATCTTAGAGAGTGAAGAAATCTTTTAAGGGTTAATACCCAGCAACCCCCACTTATTTTCCAGGGAAGGAACAACCTATACAACAAGTACATCCAAACTCTGTATGGAGCTCAAGGACAGTTCCCTGTTTGCGCTGTCAATCTCTAACTGTAAAAAGTTGTCTTACGTTTATTTCAGTTAATTGGTTACTGCTCTGCTTTATTAGCCCAGGAGGTAACACAGAACACCGAGCTAAATGTTATTTTAGGAATTAGTTGGCACCAGCTGCTACCAGATCGCTACATTTTGGGTCTCTGTACCAATGTGGAGCACCTCGGCCCACGCCGAGGGAGACACTGACCAAAGGGAAAGAACCGCCACGGATTTCTCGCCCATGACTCCCTTCAACCAAATGGAGCATCGCATTGTGTTTATCTCTGTGTAGAGCTGCATCCAATTGCCTTTGCCTGGTCAGAGTAACATGGGTCCTTACAAAGCAGGAATAGCACGGAGTAGACAGCTTGAAAAAAAAAGTCCCAGCTGTACAGTTATATACACACATGCACGTAAAACAGATGTCTACACCAGCGTATCTTGATGTATGTACAGCATAGCACAGTAAACACTTAACGCTACTGAGACACAGAATGCAGTTTCATTAAAAACAAAATGTTCACCAACATTATACACACAAGGGAGATCACACAGTGCGCATATACACACTTACACGATGCAAAACTGCCGCTGTGAAGGCTGACCCTCCTGTGCCACAAAACATTAGATACCCTGGAATTCAGGACACCGCAAGTTTTACTCTCACCTTCATTGCTCCAATACCCTTGGTCATGCAACTTTTTTTATTTGTATCTCAGAACCCTCGCCGCTCTCACGGGTTGTACTTATGCAAAAAAATCCCTACTTTCTCCTTGATCTTGGTTTGCTTTTTATGAGTTTTGGTGGGGTTTTTTGTTTGTTTGTTGTGGATTATTTTTTTCCCTAAACCCCACAGGCACTTGCTAAGTATCAAAAGGCACAAACACACAGCACATCTATCCTGCAGCAAAGGACCCTGTCATCAAATGAGCACTGTGCACAGTAACGTTAGACTTGGCGTCAAGTTCTAAAGGCAAAACAAAGCTACTGCACTGCCCTGCTCTTCTGCACCATTTATGCCAGAAGCTTTTCTTCTTGATTTTTTTCCCCAGACAGAGTTTCCATCAATTATGTGTCTAGAATGGACTTCAGGCAGAGTCACCTCATGACCGGCACTCAGCAATATACCCTAAATCGCACCTTGTGCCTCCACCAGCTTCTCTATGTCTATTCCCTATGTGACCATTTCTCTCCAGAAACGTTTACAAGCTACAGCTTTGGGACATGACGAGAGGGTTGTGTTACAGCGCAGTGGGGGTTTCACGCAGAGTTGTACTAAAAGGACGGTCCAGGAAGTTGCTGCATCTTCGATAATCCTAAGCTCCTCTTTCAGATGTACTCCACATTTTCACAAAGTAGTGCAGAAGAATCAAAAGTTACTTCACTTTGCCGTATCTGCCATTCCTCAATCCTAAATGTGCAAGTTTCATGCTGAGTTTTATTAAGAGACACTACTCAAGTCTCGTTCCAAGTCAGGCCAAAAGACAATGTTTAAATTGACCTCCAGCAACTCTGGCCCTACATCACCTTGAGACAATACAACCAAAAGTACTAGTTTGTTGTTTTTTGTTTTTTTTTTTTTTTAAAAAAAAGAAGATTAAAAGATGGGGGGGGAAAAACCCAAAGCTTTACAAAACATGGTTTCATTTTGTTTTCTTTTCCTTTTTTTTTTTTTTTTTGAGGTATTGAGGGAAGTAAGGTGGATGGGAGAAGAAACGATGCTTGGCAGACCCAGACAATTGCTTCAAGATCAGCAAACAAATGTTAAGGCTGAGAAAGTTGCCATAGCTTTTCAATGGGGAACTCCTAAATCCAGGGTCTTGGAAGAATGACCCTACGGTTTACAAGTCTGGTGCACATTTAAGGCAAAACAACTGACTACTATGATCAAGATTCAACTAAGTTTCCATCAATTACATTCCATGAAGAAAATAGAAGTATCTATTCAATAGAAGTTCACTTTACACCCGTCTGAAACCGGCAGAACGTCACTCCTAGCCCTGGAGTATGGTCTTAACACCAAAACGGGAAGAAACTAGCGTGCAGACTGAATGGCACAGAGGTTCTCAGTGATGTCTGTCTGCAAGCATAACCGCACAATCCCAGCTTTTTATTCACTCTCTTCAAAAGGGAGCATGTCATCTTTCAAAATGGTTGATATGGTACCATGCCAGTTCCTGACAGAAGCCAGGCTTCAGAAGGAGCTGTACTGGTAATCAGTCTGGTCCTTCATTCTGATCTTAAGAGTAGACACATGGAAGAGAGTCCAGAAGTTCTTCACAGATCTTAAGACACCAGGCAGAAGGGAAGGAAGAAAGGAAGGGGGATGAAATGCAGACAGTTTTTCAATTTAACCAGATATTAAGTCCCTGCCTATGTTCAGAGACCTTTTCTGTCCAGGAACCATTTAAGCCAACAGTAAAATGGAGGTGGGTATTCACGTCACCTACTTCAAGTAGATAACCTCAGGGCCTCAGTTAAAAGCCACCTCTTCCCAGTCAATCAAGAACAGGGTTCCTTCCTCCAGCTGGCCGTTTGGAGGAGAAGGCTTAACCCAGGTACTTCCACCCTGATACTCTACAAAGAGTTGGCCTTCTTCCAGTGACTATGAGGGTCCTAATTTAAGCTATGGAAGTTAGACCCATGGCAATGGTGGTTAACTTTCAAAAATGCATGGCATAATTTGAGGCCATTAGCAATGATTCAGTTTTTAAGTATTGCTGTTTTCCTCACTTTTTCATACCTTTATTGTGATTAGGAGAGGCAAGAAGGGAACAAGGCACAATAAAGGTCAAAAATGAGAAAAGGTACTTGTAAATATACAATTCTGTTTTTTACCAACTTCACTAGCTTCTCTTCATAAGCTAAGCAGCTCTTTGAAATTAATTGCTTGAGTTTCAAAGACAGAAGTCTGACTGGCCACTGAAAGACAAGTATGTGCACACACAACTGATTAGATCTACCATTAACCACCAGTATGTACGGACGTGCAAATTTCCTGGAGAAGCAAATGTTGGACAGAAAATAAGAATTACTTGTCATGTAAAACATTCAGTATTTCATTGCATTAGTTATATTTAAGATGTTAAAGTGGATGAGCAGACCTGCCAAATTAACCTTCTCAATGAATTTTTTATGAAGTCCTAATATGAAGAATCCTAAAAATGGTGCTTCCAGACTCTTGCATGCATTGAGATTAAAGCATTTTTAAAAAATCCTTCATGCTACAGATCTGCCAAAGTCAAAGGGGAGCCCTTTAATGTCTTCTACAGATAACAACAAATCAGAAGCAAAACATCAGGCCAAACTTTAGTTTACTGTGTGAAATACATCTTTTTTTGCTAATTCTCGGGAGTAACAAAAAAGGTTTTGGCATGAAGTGGTTTTTCGTTTTGTTTTTTAACTAATAGTGATA